TCCCAATCACGACAGCTCGAAAATGAACCACCAATTCTAACGTCTGTTTTATAAACGCTTGGCCGTGCCCAGGGCTGTCACGTGTCACTTGGGGTCTGAGAAGTAACCAGAAATCACTTTTGCACAGACTAAACTGTTTTACAATAGTCTCCCCCTTAACTTTCCTGGGCAGCGCAGCTGACAACTGTTGACAAGTGCCTGAGCTGCAGGTAGGTGTGACCATGGCCTATGGCCCATACCGAACCATTATGGGGGCATTTGTGGGCCCCTTCCATAATGGTCACCTGGCCTCTCAAGGTAGACTCCCTTACCCCTAGATTCTCCTTAATGGCTTTATGACCTGGGGTCAGATTAACGAAGCAGTTACGCAAGTACTTACGAACGTGTACATCTTTCCTCAATCTTTGACGGCTTTGGTTACATTTATTGAACAGTTTACAAGCATGAAAACTTTCCAATCAACTGTTGTTATTGTTATAAACAGCCTCCTGGTGCTTCGGAGCTTATTAACTGTTTAATAATTGTAAACAAAGCCGCCAAACATTGTGAAAAGATGTCCAGGTTCATAAGTGCTTGCGTAACTGCTTCATGAAACTTGCCCCTGGATTGCTGCAGTTTCCCAACCATCGTCTCTCCTCTGTTTAAAATTGTTTCATTTTGTGAACAACTGAAATTGTTCATTGTTCACCCACACACACACCCTGTACTTGAGTGTGAGTGAGTGTGTGTGAATCCCAGCTATAGGCGATACAAATGACTGGCCAGTCTTGAGATTTTTTAGTAGTATTCTGCCTCCTGCTGTCTCCGCCTCAGGTCAACTCCAAGTATCGAGACTTGTTGGTCTCCGCCATAAACTCTCCGGACCCATGTTTATCCCAAGTTCTCCCATCACAAACTTGGCGAACACCTGACCCGAGACAATTATCTAAACTTACCTTGTCAACCCGATATCCTTATTTGGCTCATAGTTTCCTGCACCTTCTCTCGCTGCTCTTCTCGCGTGCTTCTGCTGGCACCTGGCATCAACCTTCGCTTGTTCTTCTTCACCCAAGTTCCTCCTATCGTTTCTTCCTCCCCGTTTTTTTTATTTTCCACTTCCTTTTCATCTTCCTCCTCATTTTAATTTTCCTCTCTCCTCTGTTTTGCCTTATCCTTCTTTCGTTCACCAGTCCCCCATTATTACTCCCTCTCCTGAGCACCGTGCGACCCATGGGTGGGGCTCCTTGACTGATCACTCCCATGCCATCTTCCGTCGTCTTTATTAGCAAGCTGTTAACCTAAAGTTAAGGCAGCGGGCGGCTCTGGTAACCCTCCACCACCACACAAGACAGGGACAGCAAGTTCTTTACCAGTTTGGAAATACCTTACAGGTCTTCTTATACACCGGCGGTCAACTTTTTGTTTTTGAGCGGTGGAGGAGGAGGTGTTTCTGACAAGAGTTGCAGTATATTTTCGGGCTCACTTTTGACATTGGACTCAAAGCAGCCGCTCTCGGGAAAGTATTAGCAGTCATTTAGATTTCGCTATTCCCAATACTACCAAAGACGCAATAAACACCGATATTAACCATCCAGTTCCTCTACCATTGTTCTGAACTCGGGGCTACCATCGCGTTTCCAGTTTGTCTATCACACTTTGCACGAGCAATACAACCGCCTCCCCAGTGCAGGTCAACCATGCAGCTGGTCTGCACCTCTGCCCCTCTTGTAACTCCTGGACAAAAAGGCTCTCTCAAAAGAAGCCGCACACCTCGTACACCTTTTTATTTGATTTCTGGCAACAAGGCATCTACTGCAAACAAAATGGTTTCCTTTGTTGACCAATCCACACACTAGAAAATGAAGGGACGACGACGTTTCGGTCCGTCCTAGACCATTCTCAAGTCGATTGTGGAAGTATGTTAAGAGTTCAACATACTTTAGCCACGTTGTTGTGACTCATCGCCTGTATGGTTTCCTTTAGTTACTTGTTGGGTCCAGGACATAAGTGTGCCACCAGTGTTCTCTCTCCACAAGCCACTAACCTGCTTGATACGGTTCTGGGAGTTCTTCTATTCCCCAAGCCCGGCCTCCCAAGCCGGCCCGAGGCCAGGCTTGACTTGTGCGAGTTTGGTCCACCAGGCTGTTGCTTGGAGCGGCCCGCAGGCCCACATACCCACCACAGCCCGGTTGGTCCGGCCACTTGAGCATCCATTACCTGATATCTCCCTCCCACCTGTCCTCACACTCGCCCCCACTTCAACTCCACCCACCGGGAACAAAATGGTCTCCCTCCGACGCCCTGCTCCAGACTCGCAGTTGCCGTAGTAAACAAAAAGTTGCTGGCGGGGATGTCTAATCTTGCAGCGGCCGGGATGGCTTTGATCGGTCAGTTGGGGCCGGTAATGGCGGTTCCCCTTCACACCCACTCCTCTTCTTTCATCTTATTCTCTCCATCGCCTCCTTTTGATCTTTACCTCGTTTTCATCTCTCTTTTTGTTACTCTTAAGACCAATAATATTCCTTTTGGTCTCGTAAGTCATGCAAATATATAAATTTTCAAAGGTTAGACTTATATATTATTGTCGATATCGTAAGTCTTAATTTTACCGCTGAATTATCTTCCCCCGAGACATCAGAGGGTAATAAAACTACTCTTGTAAAGTTGATTCTTTTTATATATTGATCACTTTATTGAATTCCAGGTTCAGGACGCCGGGGACTGAATCCATTACGTAAATACAAAGAACTCAGCGACACACTCACCTCCCAGGTTCTGGGAGTTGTTCTACTCCCCAAGCCCGGCCCGAGGCCAGGCTTGACTTGTGAGAGCTTGGTCCACCAGGCTGTGTGAAGAGACCTATCCTGCCATCGTCCCTGGTGCAGGCCACACACACACACAGGCAGGATGGCAGGATAGGTCGCTTCACACACACACACACACACACACACACACACACACACACACACACACACACACACACACACACACACACACACACACACACACACACACTGCGGGGCCTCGTAGCCTGGTGGATAGCGCGCAGGACTCGTAATTCTGTGGCGCGGGTTCGATTCCCGCATGAGGCAGAAACAAATGGGCAAAGTTTCTTTCACCCTAAGTGCCCCTGTTACCTAGCAGTAAATAGGTACCTGGGAGTTAGTCAGCTGTAACGGGCTGCTTCCTGGGGTGTGTGTGTGTGTGGTGTGGAAAAAAAAAAAAAAAAAGTAGTTAGTAAACAGTTGATTGACAGTTGAGAGGCGGGCCGAAAGAGCAAAGCTCAACCCCCGCAAAACACAACTAGTAAACACACACACACACACAGGCAGGATGGCAGGATAGGTCGCTTCACACACACACACACACACACACACACACACACACACACACACACACACACACACACACACACACACACACACACACACACACACACACACGCGCGCGCACGCGGTTCTCCACGCGAAGAACTCGCCCTCCTACCTTGAGGTTACCTTGAGGTGCTTCCGGGGCTTAGCGTCCCCGCGGCCCGGTCGTCGACCAGGCCTCCTGGTTGCTGGACTGATCAACCAGGCTGTTAGACGCGGCTCCTGAAGTGACTATTCTCTAATTACTGCACCCAGCTGGTTCTTCTACCTGCGTGGCGCTCTTTTCTTACTCTGCCGTCCCCTAGGGCCATATGGTGGCCTCTTATCCCCTCTTCCTCCCCTCGGGCCACGGGGCCATATGGTGGGGTGGGCCCGTTATCCCCCCTCTTCCTTCCTTGGGCTCAAGAGGGCCCCCAGTGGTGGTGGCCCCTTACCTGCCCACAATACACCTGTTGCTCCCACAATTAAATACCTCTCCTCGTTTTTCTTACCTTCAGTGTTAATTGCCGCTGCACTTGCTCTAAAGCGTTCCTTTTGCCTCTGGCTAACTGCGCCTGCTGTGAATTAATGCAACATGAGAACATGTTGCATTAATTCATGTTGTTGACGTTCACTTTACACAGTTCACGGTTGTGAGTGCAGGTAAACAATATATTCTGAAGCATTCTTTGAGTACTACGCCAGCGGGTAAAGCGCACTGCTCTTCGCTATGAACGGTTGTGTGTTCACTCAAGAACTGTTACCTTAATATCCAAGGGTAGGTATAGCCTCTTGCTGCCGCCGCCTTTCCATCCCTCACAAGACATTTAGGTGCGGTTCCCAAGGCTACAAATTACTTGTGTAAAGGAGGAAATGTAGATGTTTATCTCTCAGAATGTTTGGTAATATGTTTATTGTTTGTGATGTGTGTATATGTATGTATTAACACGATGTACTGAACGGGGTGAGAATAGCTTGAGCTGCCTCATCCCTTTGTGTGTATTTTACCTCAATAAACTTTTTTTCAATTTCAATGTCTAGCAAGAACGGAAGGGAAGAGAAAGGTTAAATAATAGGGGAAATTGGAAGGTACGATTGAGGTAAAATAAAGGCAGGGAAGAAGGGATCGAGGCACTATAAGCTCTGCCCTAAAACCTTCCCTAGAGGTTTGTAAGTTGATCGTGGCGTTCTGTATTCACAAATCCGCACGAATGGCACATAATAATCCACGAACTGAAAAAAAATTCCAGCGTTAATATTTTATGATCAGGAAGTCGGGCGTAAGTGAGAAGGTTGATGTTGGGGGGGGGGGGGGGAGATCTAAGGATCTCGGCCAGGGGCCAGATTCACGAAAGCAGTTACGCACGCACTTACGAACGTGTACATCTTTCCTCAATCTTTGACGGCTTTGGTTACATTTATTAAACAGTTTACAAGCATGAAAACTTGCCAATCAACTGTTGTTATTGTTATAAACAGCCTCCTGGTGCTTCGGAGCTCATTAACTGTTTAATAATTGTAAACAAAGCCGCCAAAGATTGAGAAAAGATGTACAGGTTCGCAAGTGCTAGCGTAACAGCTTCGTGAATCTGGCCTCTGTTGGTGAACGAAAACGGACGAGAACGCCAAGACGAGACGGGAAAATGCTGCTCAATAACTTTAAGACAAAACACTGAATCCTGATTCCTCCTGAATCGGCAGCGGCGGCGGCGGCAGGAGTGGCGGCGGCAGGAGTGGCGGCGGCAGGAGTGGCGGCGGCAGGAGTGGCGGCGGCAGGAGTGGCGGCGGCAGGAGTGGCGGCGGCAGGAGTGGCGGCGGCAGGAGTGGCAGAGGCAGGAGTGGCAGCGTACAACATCTGGCCAACCAGGGTGGCAAAGGGCAGATATGATTATCAAAATAAATGCCGCCATCGATTCGAAGGTAAATGCTAATTTGCGAAAAGCTAAACGAATAAGACAGTGAGAATGGGAGGTATAAAGAGGTGGGCAAGACGGGTGGGAAGTGGGAAAGGCAGGCGTGGTGAAGCCTAGATAAGACATGTGGAAGGAGGAAGCGTGGGAAGGAAAAACGTAAATGAGATAAAAGAGAAAGAGGAAGGAAGATGTAAATAAACAGGAGAGAGAACGGAAGGCACATGGGAAGACTCACTCACTCACTCACTCACTCACTCACTCACTCACTCACTCACTCACTCACTCACTCACACTCTCTCTCTCACACACACACTCTCTCTCTCTCTCTCTCTCTCTCTCTCAAACACACACTCCTCCGAGACAAAAAAAATCCCCAGAGGAGGTCACAAGTAGAAAATGAAGCCCCTGAAGCACACTCGATGCCCAGAGCGAAGACCATCACACTGCACATCGTTATGACAAGTTAAGACAAAGCGTAAGAAAACGTTCCGAGTAAATTATCGTGCAGGAAGACCCAAGAGTTAATCCTTCCTTCTGGCTGCATGAAAAAACTTGGATAGTTTATTGCAAGAAGTGCCGGACCAACCGGACTGTGGTCGGTATGTGGGCCTGCGGGCCGCTCCAAGCAACAGCCTGGTGGACCAAGCTCTCAAGTCAAGCCAGGCCGGGTTTGGAGAGAAGAACTCCCAGAACCCCATCAAGCAGGTACAATTCAGGAATGAAACATATACAGCAAGCCTTGCTACATCACTCTCCTTGTAATGATCCACCAGTTAACGGACGTTGGGTCGGAAGTGGGGTGGGGGAAGAGGGTGAGGGAAGAGAGTGGGGAAAGAGGGTAGGAGGGGAAAGAGGGTAGGAGGGGAAAGAGGGTAGGAGGGGAAAGAGGGTAGGAGGGGAAAGAGGGTAGGAGGAGGGGAAAGAGGGTAGGAGGAGGGGGGAAGAGGGTAGGAGGAGGGGAAAGAGGGTAGGAGGAGGGGAAAGAGGGTAGGAGGAGGGGAAAGAGGGTAGGAGGAGGGGAAAGAGGGTAGGAGGAGGGGAAAGAGGGTAGGAGGAGGGGAAAGAGGGTAGGAGGAGGGGAAAAAGGGTAGGAGGGGAAAAAGGGTAGGAGGAGGGGAAAAAGGGTAGGAGGAGGGGAAAGAGGGTAGGAGGAGGGGAAAGAGGGTAGGAGGGGAAAGAGGGTAGGAGGAGGGGAAAGAGGGTAGGAGGAGGGGAAAGAGGGTAGGAGGAGGGGAAAGAGGGTAGGAGGAGGGGAAAGAGGGTAGGAGGAGGGGAAAGAGGGTAGGAGGAGGGGAAAGAGGGTAGGAGGAGGGGAAAGAGGGTAGGAGGAGGGGAAAGAGGGTAGGAGGAGGGGAAAGAGGGTAGGAGGAGGGGAAAGAGGGTAGGAGGAGGGAAAGAGGGTAGGAGGAGGGGAAAGAGGGTAGGAGGAGGGGAAAGAGGGTAGGAGGGGGGGAAAGAGGGTAGGAGGAGGGGAAAGAGGGTAGGAGGAGGGGAAGAGGGTAGGAGGAGGGGAAGAGGGTAGGAGGAGGGGGAAAGAGTGTAGGAGGAGGGGAAAGAGGGTAGGAGGAGGGGAAGAGGGTAGGAGGAGGGGAAGAGGGTAGGAGGAGGGGAAGAGGGTAGGAGGAGGGGTAGAGGGTAGGAGGAGGGGAAGAGGGTAGGAGGAGGGGAAGAGGGTAGGAGAAGGGGAGGGGGTAGGAGAAGGAAGAAGGGGAAGAGGGGTAGGAGGAGAGGGAAGCGGGAAGGATAGGGGGGAGAAAAGATTCTCAGCGACAATAGCCAATCGGGCATTAACAGGACAAGCGTCGGCACCACAGAACCCGGCGCCAGAGCCCGGCGCCAGAGCCCGTTACCCTGCTCCGGATTCCCGGTAATGTGGCAAGGTGCTGAAGGAAGAGAGGGGGGGGAGGGGGAGAGGGGAATAATTGAAGAAGATGAGTTTGAACCTGGAAGGTCGAGGAAGGAGGAAGAATGGAAGAAGACAAAGAAAAGGGAGCAAGAAAGAGAATATCGAAAGGAAGATATGAATAGGGTGAGGAATGAACAGGAGAGGAATGTAAGAAAAGGATAAAAATGGATGAGAAACAAATAAAAGTGCTAAAGAACGAGTAAGCAAAGGACGTGTGAGAGGGGGTGTATATAGGGAGGGATCGTGAGAGTGTGGGAGGGAAGGAGAATGGAAGGGGGTGACCGTTCCCATGGAGAGGTGAGGACGTGACACCTGGCCTGTTGTTGTCACTGGTGACCCGTGACTCCCTCCGTGTCGCCTCGCCACCCTCACCCATCCGCCCCGCCCACACTCACCATTCATTCACCGTCACTCACTCATACATCGGCTAAATGGAGTCACATGCGCCTCTCGACAACCACAACCCCATCACAACCCCCACTCCACCAACCCGCAGCGGCGCCACATCATAAACACGCCGTCACCACAACAGGCGAGCCGTTACGTTATTCAACTCCTTCCTTGCAGGTAACGCTTCAACGGCGCACCTTACCCCACTAACGACAACGGGACGGGGATGGGGGGATGGGGGGAAGGGGGTTGGGGGTTAGGATGATGGCATTCCTTTCAACCAATTCACATAAAACGTACATATACGTGTCCTTGTCAAGACAGGTCTAAGTCATCCAAATCTTAGATTCCGGTCGTCTATGGTCTATATAAATAATTCATAAAAAACAAAAGTTGCGTGGCGTCCGCGTTGATGGTTCGTCTCTTCATCAGGTATTGACGGAGGGTCCAGCCCTGGTCCAGCCCTTGCCCCTCCTCACCTTGGTGTTAATCATGTAGCCAAACGGATCCCTTCATGGGACAGCTCTCATGGTGATGGCCAGACCTGGGTAGCGACGATATGATGGGGGTGTGGGAGGTGGGTGTGGGGGGTGGGGGTGGGCGAGCTGGTGTGGGGGTGGGTGTGGGGGTGGGCGAGTGGGTAGGGTAGGGGTGGTAAATATTTCTCCTGGTGGGGTAGCAGGGGGGGGGGAGGGGGAGCATAAAGGACCGGTAGGCTAAATATAAGAGACCACACCACATTTCAGCGTCTCTTATTTCCTCATTCTCTCTCTACTTTACTCCACCATTTGCATATTTTGTCTTACTAGTCTTACAATTAAAACAATTACCGGGTCTCTTCCAGCCCAACCTCTTCCCAGGCCCGACGCCCACCTCCCCCCCCCCTCCAACCCCTCCTCTTTCACAACACCTCCCCAAGGCAACGCCTCTTCCCTCACCCTCCCCACCCCCCTCCCCAAGCGTGGCGATCTCATTATAATGACTAAGGAACAAAAAATTAATATTATCCTGCATAATACCGAGATAATTAACTTCTTAAAACTTTCATCAATCTTCTTTATTTCGGAAAATTTCGTCTGGTCGGCGCATGAGGGACACGCGGGTAACCGGAACGCCTAAGGGCGAGGTTACCTGCGAGACGCATCAGGTGCACGCCTCAAATAATCCTGCAGATTTAGCACTATCACGTCCACTGAAGGGGTAGGAGATAACGCCTCCAGGTTGTCTAAAGTGTCGGACGGTGTTAAGGATAGTTAAGGATAGTTAAGGATGGTTTACCAGGGATGGCTCGAGGGGGCTCCACAGCTGGGTTTTTAAGACACCTTCCTCCAAACTTCAACATTTTATCTCAGCGAAGGTAATCTAAAGACTGACATCTTTAAAAAAAAATGGAAGATAATCTATTTTGCATCAAAGTTCTTTACAAAAATCAAGTCACTTTCCTAACAAAAAAGAAAGATTTCGTTTCTTCTATTCTCACTCATTTTTAGTTCCATTTTTTCCCCTGGACTTGACGGGGATGTCAACACCTCTTCAAACCACAGACTCATTATTCGCTCCAGTTGGCACTCGCTCCACACACAGGAAGGTCTATGCTTGGCTCTTCGTAGCTGGGTTACCCGACCCGAGACTCATCAAGTATTCGTGTGTCCACTATGTAAACCTCTACATCTTTTCCCCAATCATGGCGGCTACTTGTGTAAAGAAGGAAATGTATATGTTTATCTCTCAGAATGTTCGGTAATACGTTCATTGCTTGTGATGTGTGTCTATGTAAGGGAGCCGGTCGGCCGAGCGGACAGCACGCTGGACTTGTGATCCTGTGGTCCTGGGTTCGATCCCAGGCGCCGGCGAGAAACATTGGGCAGAGTTTCTTTCACCCTATGCCCCTGTTACCTAGCAGTAAATAGGTACCTGGGGTGTTAGTCAGCTGTCACGGGCTGCTTCCTGGGGGTGGAGGCCTGGTCGAGGACCGGGCCGCGGGGACACTAAAAAGCCCCGAAATCATCTCAAGATAACCTCAAGATAGATGTATGTATTAACACATGTACTGAACGGGGTGAGAATTGCTTGAGCTACCTTATTCCTTTTGTGTGTATTTTACCTCAATAAACTTATTTCAATTTCAATTGTAGCGGCTTAGTAAACTTGTATTAAACAGTTTGCGAGCTCCGATGGAATACGAGGTGGTCCAAAACAATAACAACCTTGCGTTGTGAAGTTTACATGCCCGTAAACTGTTTAATAAATGCAGACTAAGCCGTTACGATCTAGGAAAGATGTACAGGCTTCGTAAATACTTGATGACTCCTGGCCGTAAGCTAGTAATACTGCGCATTACTCTTATAGAGACGGCTCTATAAACAGCGAAGGGATCTCAACCCTCTTTCCATAAACATCACGGACATAACATGGCAGCAGCACATTCCCCGGTCAAAAGAGAACTTGATAACACCTTCAAAGGATACCGGATCAACTAGTCCGGTATACTGGTAACAGGTACCAAATTTGCCCAGTAGACTAACAACTTGCTGGAGTGCAAGGTACGGAAGGAAATGCAGAATGAAACCAGTGAAGAGTAAGAGGTGCCATAGACACAATCAGAGAACACTGTCTGAACATCAGAGGTCCACAGCTGTTCAACAC